AATTTATACTTATTTTGATTTGTTTTAAAAATATAAAATATTGAAAGTTAAATATCATTTGAATATTTTAAACTTTTTATTTTTATATCACTAATAATATTATGATATAAATAAATGTTGGTGTAATTACATAATTAAATGGAGCAATTGGCTCAATGGTTTTAGCACCCAATTTTCATCCTAGAGAACCCAAATTCAAACCCCCCAGTAAAATGTAAGTTATCATCTATTTATTTTCTTCCCAATGAAAGGTATTGGAAAGAAAATAAAATAAATTAAATTAATTAATATTAATACATTTTAATTAAGACTAAATTAATAGAAAATATATGTATTGAGGATCAAATTTATAATTATAAAAAACAAATTGTTAACTGCCACGACACCATCCGTTAGATTTTAATGTCAGATGACTTAAAAGATATCACTTAAATAGTTTAGTGGTCATATTGATGCAAATTTGAAAACAGTAGTCATTTTGATACCGACCTCATAATTGGGTGGTCATTCAAGTAGTTTACCCTAAATAAAATGTATTTTTAGTTTTGTCAGCATTGATAACATTGTTAGGGGAATTAAATTCCATTTTGGTTTTTTACATCTTTTGTTAATTACATTTATGTTTAGGTGTCGAACAAAAGAGTATAGTATTGAATTAGTCATCACTTTCCACTTATAACAAGGATGGAATAATTGTTCATTTAATATTTTTTATTTCTTCTATAAATCTAATTCTCTTATAAACTCCTAAATAAATATAAGTTTTATCAATTAGGACCTTCAGTTGAAGTGATTCAACTTCTGTGTAGTGATATATATATTTCTATTGTATTTCATGAGGCAAATATTACGGTGGAGTTGGGGTTTCTTTGCCATTACCCATGTTTTATTTCCTATTGTGATTTGTATCATATGCACGGGGTTTTATTGCATTAGTTAACAAGAAAATTACAATAAAAAATTAGAGTAAATTACATATTTAATCATCTATCTATTTCCGTGTTTCGTTTCGGTTTTCTAACTATATATTTTTTAAAATTATACACAATGTTACGTTTTTTTCCGTTTTAGTCACTCGTTATTAAAAAATAAATAAAACTATTGACGTTGTAATTTTTATTTTATTTTTTTCTAATGATGGTGTGATATTACCTTATAGTGGGGATGGACCTAGACGAGATAGATGGGGTCGACCGATCCACTGAAAATTTAAAATTACATATATTTTGATATTTGTGTATGTATTTTTTATTGAAAATTTATTTTTGCCCTTAAAATTTTATAATTTCAAATTTACCTTATAATATAAAATTTTGCATCTTTTCTTGTTTATAATGACAGGTCAACATTTGTATCTTTTCTTGTTTATAATGACAAGTCAACATGAAAATATCTATGAGCTGCTCGGAATTTATAGCTTTGGGCATCTTTTCTTCTAGTTTTTGGTCAAAATTAAGCAAGACACGTATGCGTGGGAGTAAACAGTGTTTTGAGTGTTGTTGGAAAAGATGATTCCTCCAATAACTAGTTCTTGCGTGGTTTGACAAAGCTCTACCGCTATGCTTCTTTTATAGAAGAAAAAGGCAGCAGCAGTGAAGAAGATAACAATTCAGATTCCTCAGTCTCATATATATGTAGATGCAAACAAGGTATTAAGTACTAACCAAAGCTTGAACCAGTTGTGGCTGGAAAATAATTCCCATCAAATAAACTACTTTTCTCATGGAATAGAGGATTTTGTTTTTTCTGGGCTTAACTAGAAAATAAGTACTTAAATTATACCCTTTTTTTTCTAAATATGTGTCTAGATTTTTTTTTTTTGCTTCATCCAAGTATTTAACGTTAAAAACGTTACTATTTTAAGTTCACAGGCTTTAACGACAGTTAAATTTCTCTGTTAAATGACATATGACATATTCTGATAATTTTGAGAATTTTTATTTAAAATAAAAAACATAAAATATATATTTTTTAAAAAACTCAAATTTTCTTAAATTACAAAAAAAACCCCAAAAAATTTAAACTAATTTGAAGATATTTTAATTGAAATAAATTTTTTAAAATTTTATAAATGCGAAACTTGTCTTTTAACGACAGAATTTAACGACCTTTACGGGCGAGGCATCTAAAATGATAATGTTTGTAACGTTAGACACTAACATAGAATCATAAAACAATTTAGGCGCCACTTTGAGAAAAATAGAAAAAAATATAGTTTATTTTGTATTTTAACTTATTGAATATATTTTTAAGTTAAAATAAAAATAATTTATATATATTTAAAATAAGATAAGAAAAAAATATATATTTTTAAATTATAGTAGTAATAAAATATTCTTAAATTAAGTTAATGATAAAATATATTTTATTTTTTAAGTTTAAACATATATTTTATTTTGTATTTTAACTTATTAAATATATTTTAATTTAAAATAAAAATAATATATATATTTTTAAATTAAAATAATAATGAAGTATTTTTTTAAATTAAGATAATAATAAAATATATTTAATAAGTTAAGATAAAATATATATTTTAAATGTATATAAAAAAATATTAATTTAAATTAACTATTTTACACTAAGATACAAAATATATACATATTGTTGTCTACTTTAAAAACAATAAGTGGTATTGATTCAGTGGTTAGGTTTATGCTTGATTTCTTAAGCCCCTTGAATTGAATCCTCTTGTCCCCAATTTTGATTGATTTGTTTTCCTTCAACTAGAGGATGACACATGTCACAATCTAATTGGTAGAAAATAATGAAAATAAATTTAAATTAACTTTACATTAAGATACAAAATATATACATATTGTTGTCTATTGTAAAACAATATGTGGTCTTGGTTCGGTGGTTAGGTTTATGCTTGATTTCTTAAGCCCCTTGAATTGAATCCTCTTGTCCCCAATTTTGATTGATTTGTTTTCCTTCAACTAGAGGATGACACATGTCACACTCTAATCAGTAGAAAATAAATATATTAAATGAAAATAAATTTAAATTAACTATTTTACAGTAAGATACAAAATATATACATATTGTTGTCTACTTTAAAACAATGAGTGGTCTTGGTTCGGTGGTTAGGTTTATGCTTGATTTCTTAAACCCCTTGAATTGAATTCTCTTGTCCCCAATTTTGATTGGTTTGCTTTCCTTCAACCACACTCTAATTGATAGAAAATAAATATATTAAATGAAAATAAATTGAGTCCTCCGATTGAATGATGACGTGTGTCACTGTGCCATATGTCATGCTAAAAATATTTAATTGCCACTTCACCTAATCTGTTAATTGTTAATGACAAGTGGTTTGATCGAAAATAATTAAACAATTTAGTGGTCTAATTAATAAAATTGAAAGATCGGTGGTAAAAATAAAAGGGCTAAATAGTTAAGTGGTCAATGATATAATTTACCTTATTAAATATATACTTAGTAGTTAATTAAGTGAAAAATTCATTAAAAAACAGAAACGCACTAAAAACATTTAAAATGAAAAATGCATCAAGGAGTTGTAAAACTAACCTAATAGAGTCTAAAACATTTTTTTGAATAATATAGATCAGTGGAGACAGCAAAAACAAGTTTTTAGCGGCATTGTTTTAGTCATGTAGCGGCGTTTTTAAGCGTCGCTAAAAACCCTTATGGCCCAAAAACAAACGCTGCAAAAAGCTCTGTTAAAATAAATGCCGTTGAAGTTTGCTGCGTTTGTGAACGTCAAATGCCGCTAAAGGTTATGCTCACAGCTAAAAGTTATGACCATTAGTGGCGTTTCTTCCCAAAAATGCCGCTAAATGTTCTGACATATAGTGGCGTTTATTAATGTAAAATGTCGCTATTGACTACGTATATAGTGACGTTTTCTATATAAGCTTTGTAGAAGATATTGAACTTTAGTGGCGTTTTGTTTTACAAACGTCGGTATTGATTATGTATTTAGTGCGTTTTATTATACAAACGCCGCTAATTAAAACTGATTTTTATCTTAAAACCCCTCTAAACCAAGCTGATTTACAAATGTTATTTTTTTCTTTTTATTACCCAAATTTAATATCATGTAACAATATCCAATAACAACACCTTAAAATTTAATTACGACTCGAATTATAATATCCAATAACAACACCTTAAAATTTAATTACGACTCGAATTAAGTAAAAATAGTTAACATAAATAAATTAAGGTTTACAAACATTCAAGTGAAATGTAATGTACTTCAACATCATTAACTACTTACAAAAATGAAATTGACAATAGATATTTTATCTTATCTCAAAGATTTTAGCACGAAAGATTCCCAACAAGGAGCGGTTAACTATTTACAAGGCTCTAGAGCCATATAACCATAATCCTTGATAACATCAGCTATCATACACACATTTGCAACAACTTCCTTGTCATCATCTTCAGTCAGTCTTGATGTAGATATTCATCACCATATCTACAAAATCAAGAGTTTAGTCAGAACTATATTACCAATTGCAATCTAGGGAAAGCTTAGACATAAAAGTTTTAAGTTAATACCTAGCACTTCTGTTGCCTTCATAGACCCATCCTGCACAGTAGAAAACATTGAACTCATATCAGCAGAGTATAAGGTCACCACTAGTCGCTCTGTGTGACCCTGCATATGTACAACTTAGTGTGTCTGAGCAACTCTTCAACTCTGTAGCATATGTCACAGCTTTGGCACACACTATTCTATGAAAATGGACGTGTCAGAATGTGCATGTGTAGTTCCTCTCTAACTAGCTAGGTAAACAATTTATCGGTCTATCAGAAGAACTTCATTAAAAGCATCCGTGAATGGCCAGCGGGAGTAATTAGTAAATAAATATTTGTGCTCAAATTTGGCCAAGTTTACCATGCAAAATTTTGAACTGCATCAGAGTAAAATTTTGAACTACATGAAAGTAAAATTATTGCTTCAAATTGCATATACATATATCATTTTTAGGAAAACTTGGCAACCAAAAAATTTACCCTTCCTGCACTCTAGATGGAAAAAATTAAGGGAAGAGACCACCATGGATGCCAATGAAAAAAAGGGAAGGGAAACGAAAGGAACCAATATAACTTAAATTCTGGCACTGAAAGATTGCATGTGCTGCTGTCAAAATATCTGCAATTTCAATCAGCAAAGAAAGTTAACAGTTAGATTTGGATACGATGAATACATTAATGTAAGAGATAAGTGCTACTCAACTCTTGAAGATAGTAAACTTGTACAAGATCACAATGCAGTAGATTTAATCTGGCAGACAATGGAGGAATTGTAGAGGGACAGAGGCTAAAACAAACACTTTTCAGAACAGAAGTCATTAATTGACGTATAGAATGGCTTTTTAGGTAAAATGTGTCTATCAAGGACAACAATAATAAATTTTTCCATATATGATGACCAAATATGTGGATGATATATGTTGGGAGTTTCATAAAGCTTTTAGTTGGTACTCACGTTTCAAAACAATAATTGCTTGAAGCCTCACATCTTCATGAAAATACCCAGAATGTCTCTCCAAAATCTTCAATGATTCCTCCAAATAGCTTAAAACAATTAAAGAAATCAGTAGAGGGGAAACTACAAATTTTAATTGCAATTTACACTTGCACTTGGGACCACTAAAGAATCTAAAAGATATTTCAGTTCTAAATCATTCGTAACATGTTGTTTGGTTCAAAATCTCAAAGCCAAACTTCTAATATGATTTTCCTGATAAAAAGTAAATCGTGATAAGAGACTAAAACCAGACTATTATCAGAAAAAAAGAACCGATAATATTAGAAAAAAGTCAATCAGAAAAAATAAATGAACAAAATTATACAAGGATACGGAGCAAAGGAGCTTTGTATGCTAGGCAAATAAGCCAAGAGCTTGAGTTGCAGCTGCCTTTTCATCCAATACACCTGTTCATATACTGATATTTCTAACCCTTGGTTCATCATGAGTTTCATCATCCGATGAGACATCACCCAAAAGAAAACGCCAACTTTAGTTTGGCCGATTGCTATAGAAAAACGTAGGGTGCGGCGAAGAAGAAAGACATACCTGGTGGTGGCCAGAATAGTGCGACGACGACGATGCTAGCTTCTGCTAGTGGCTGCGCTACGGTGGTTGTGCTGGGTTAAGGATTGGAAATCTGTGTGGAACAAAAAGAGAGCTGAATGATCTAGATTTGGGTATTTATAAAACTTTGTGGAGTTTTTTTAAACCAAAAGCCACTATAGAACAAACTATTGCAGTGTTTTCAAACAAAACGCCACAAATGTTCTGAACTATTGCGGCGTTTGTTTCAAAAACGCCACTAAAGAACGATTCGTTTGTTTATAAACTCCACTATAGTACTATGTTGTAGCGACATTTGTCTAAAAACGCCACAATATATGTACCCAATTGCGGCGTTTGTTTAAAAATGCTACTAAAAACGATTCTTTTGCGGCGTTTGTTTAGAAATGCCACTAAAGTAGATTCTTTGGTGGCGTTTGTTTAAAAACGCCACTAAAATTCTTATATGTAGCGGCATTTGTGAAATAAACACCGTTAAAGTACGAGTTTAGCGACGTTTATGGATAAACGCCGTTAATGTTACCATTTTGTGGCGTTTTGGATATAAACGTCACGATATGTATAAATTTAGTGGCGTTTTCTTTGAAAACGCCATGACAAACGTCGCTATATACCTGTTTTGATGTAGTGAGAAACTGGTGATAGAGTTTAAGGGTTAACTTAAACCTTTAAAAGTTTAGAAGTTTAAATTAAAATTTTCAATTTTTTTTGAAGATTTAGCTTACATTTTCAAAAAAAAAAAAATTGGGATCTAATTGAATTCTTTGAAATTTTAGAGGCTCAATAAAAATTTAAAATTATGGAAGTGGTTTAATCAATAATATGAAACATATTTTTAAAATTTAATTTGAATTAAAAAAAAACTTTGGGAGACAAATTAAATTTTTTAAAAATTTTAAGTGTCTAAATTATAATTTTTTTTGGGCTATGGCCCCCACAAGTCTTTATTGTATTTCGCCCCTGGTCTGAGTGAATACAGAGTAATATTTATTGTATAAATAAATCTTAACCATTGACAAAAGAGACCTTACAAATGATGCTACTTGACCGTACGTATAATCTCAAAAGAGAATAACACTCTCTTAAACCACTGATATTACTCAATACTTAATAAGTTTGAAGTTTAAAACATCTTAAAAACTTAGCTAGCAAATATGAGCAGATATATCCAAAATAATGTACATGATACTCTTGTTTTAGATTAATTTAGTCTCACAATATATTGAACTAGATATAAGAAGAAATGTTGAAGCTCAACTTTAATTAAATATATGTTAATACAAGCATAGCATATATACTTTGATGTATTGTAAACAAAACTTTCTCAAACTAGTAAGCAAATTTTCTTTCACATATATATATATATATTTTAGGCTTAGGGTAAAAAGATATTAACGTTTGATTAAATAATCACTTTGACTTCTATTCTTTTCTTGAAGCATTTTGACCCCCAACATTTCCTTTTTGGGGCTAATATGTCCCTTTATGGTTAATGCTCTAAATTAGGGACCATTTCACCTTAAAATAAAATTTTGAAGGTCAAAATGCTTCAGTAAAAAGAATAAATACAAAATCACTATTCATAAGATGTTAGGCGCTTTTTAGCCTAAAATGAAATGTTAAAATTCAAAATGTTGAAACTCAAAATGTTTTAAAAAAAGAATAAAGATCAAAATGATAAGGGCAAATTACTCAGATGACCACTTAACTATTTAGCCCTTTTACTTTTGTCATCGATCTTTTATTTTTGTAAATAAGACCACCTAACTATTTAATTATTGCAATTAAGCCACTAACCATTGACATTTGATAGAGATGCTGATGTGGCAGTTAAAAATATTAGTATATTTATAAATTTGGTCCTTTATATTTATAAATTTTAAAATATTAAGGACCAAATTTATAAATATACCAATATTTTTAACTGCCATGTCAGCATTTCTATAACACCCCCAATCCGTACCCGACCCGAATACGAGTCCGCGGTGTCACATTGATTTTTCAAAACATATACATTAGAAAAATTGTACGAAACTTTAAAATTTTATTAAAACAAAAAATCCCTATATACATAATTGAGTTCATCATTACAAAATTGATCAGAGCGTGTGTGTGAATTAGACTTTTCTATATGCCAACATCTATAATCAAGAAAATGCATATGGTGAATTCACTTCTGATCTGATCTGCTAATGAAGATATGTTGCTCTACCGAACTTAAGTCTAATCATCTTGCTTCTCAATACCTACGTGTAAAACACTTAAACGCTAAGTCATAGACTTAGTGAGGCATAAAATATAATAATGCGTTTCCTACGAATATGAACACACAAATAATTACTCATGTAATAATCATATAATAAATTAAGCATGTCACACATATGATACAACATAAAAAATAATGATATAGTAATATATACTCATGTAAATACATTTGATATCTCTTATAGGCCCATGTATATTACTGAGAACTTAAGGTATGTGAGTACATTGAGGTTGTGAACATATGCTATCACCACAACTCGTATGGGGTCCCACTAGGGGCATGTGAAATTTGTCCCGAATGACCTATGTATATATCCCAAATGACCTATGAAACCCTCGACTCTTGGTATGCCAACTATACCCCTAGCTCTTATATCACATAACATAGGCATTATTGTTATTATTCGTATGTTCATGTATTCATATCATTTCTCCTATATTAACATATGTCTTTTCTTTTATCACATAGCACATGTACACATAATTATCTATCTCGTATCATATAACATGTGTACTTTCATCTATTCATATGAATCATATAACATTTAACAATTAATATAATCATATATAACATATATAACTTATGCATATATTTATAATAACCATCATGTATACATGTTCATAATGACTATGATATAACTATAAATCATAGGAATAGACTTATCACAAGTCATAATTCCTTTGAACTACATCTCTAGTATGCACTCACCTTGGCCTCACTGACTATTAATTATTTCTATGACTTCCTTTCTTTCGATCGAATCCTAACTCGGTGGTCGTTCCAATGCTTGCTTGAGCTCGGTATCTACGTAATCATACATGGATCCATACCAGTATTCTAATTGATCTACTCTAATTGTTCATTTCTTAGACTAAAAGAAAGATTTATTTATATTTTTCCTTTGTAGTGTATCGGTACATCCCTTCACTGGTGTATCGGTACACTATCTATGTATCGATACCCAAATTACATTCAAAAAATTTCGTTTCAAGGGGGTATCGATACACTCCTAAAGGTATCGGTACCCTTTGAATATCTTCCTGAATTTTACTCTTGAGGTATCGATACCTGTTGAATGGGTACCGATACCCCTTTCCCAGAAATCATGTTTTGAGCCCAAAAATTCACTCAATTTATCACAAATACTTCATGTTTTAACCCTTTACATATTCATAACTCATATACACATTCTTAAACCCATTTCTACTCATTAATCACATCTTAAACCTCAAAATCCTATCCACCACATGGAATTCAATAATTAAACTCAATTTTCAACATGTTCTAAATCCAATTCTAACACTTCATATGTCTTAATTAGATTGATGATAAGTCAAATTAAACTTCCAATTTAACTTATCAACTATTATTCAAGATATCATTTAAAAGTTCCTTAACTTTAATTTCTCCTAACTCCTTCATCTTATGATTTTAAGACAACTTAAGCTTTCCTTAAGCTTAAGTATCACCCAATGATCAAAACCCAACTTAAATTTCAGCTAATAATCAACTACTAAGAAATCTTACCTTTGCAAGTTGGAGTTCACGGCTGGGAGAAGGAAGAAGAAGAAAACTCTGGAGACTTTTATATTTTTCCTTCCCCCAATCCATATGGAACCATATATATATATATATATATCCTCTTACAAATTAATTATTGTTAGGATTTTCGGAAGCTCGAATCGACAACCGGAACGGTTTGCAAAGAGGGGTCGGAACGGTTTTGTGTTTAGGGAGTAAGGAGATTGAAAAATAGAGAATTGCACAGTGATTTATAGTGGTTCGACTTTCTCAATCAAAGTCTACGTCCACAACCTTAGCTCCTCACCAAGGATTTTCCAACAAATTCACTAATTTGTTCTTTCTTTTGAGGATAAAGAGTAACCTTACAAACTCCCTAGTTTTTCCGGGCTAAACTAGAACATTTCTCTAACTTTTACACAGGCTAAGCTAGAACCTTTCCCCTTTACAAAAGGATAATAAATGTAAACAAGAAAACCTCTCTAAGGTAGGTGTTTACAAGATTGAGCTCACAAGAACAAAATATATACAAGAGAAAGATGAAATAAGAATGAAAAATTATTCTCTTGTGTTTGATTGCTTGGATAGTTGTTCTATTACTTCTTCAAGTGTCCTTAGCTTGTATTTATAGCTTGGAATGTGTTTGAATTCATATCTAGCCGTTGGGGATGTTTTGGAGCCATTTGGGAATGATTTTTCTGCAAAAATAGACTTCCCAGAATGAGGGGAATCGGTACCCCTTCATAGGGAATCGATACCCCTTCATAATATTCAAATATTATGACCGTTGGGCTGATGAACAGTGAGGGAATCGGGGGGAATCGGTTCCATCCGAGTAATCTGTTATTTCTCGGAGCCAAACCATGCAGGGGGGAATCTGTACCCGGGGAATCGATACCCCTGGGGGGAATCTGTTCCCGGGGAATCGATACCCCCTGGGGGGAATTTATTCTCCCTGGGGGGAATCTGTACCCCCTGGACAATCTGATTTTTCTTGAAACCCTTTAAAAAGAAAATATTTTTGGCTCGATTAAGGCTCGAAATACTTTGTAAAATTGTTTTAAAATAGTTTAAGTATAAAACACAATTTTACACTTTAGTAAGGATTAAAATG